CAATGATTCCTAGTATTAAGTATAGTTTTTAATTAGTTAATTACTAGATATCACTAAAAAATCTCTTGTGAAAGTTTTTTTTAGTAACTCTAGGTTAGTAGTAATTTCCAATTAATATACTTGCCTCCAATCAGAAACACAAGATGCTTGCATAGTTGCTAGGTTTTGACTTTAAATAACCTTGATTAAATAGCATGGCAGACAGGGATTTTAAGCCTTAATAGGGCAGCCAGTTTAGCAGAAGGATAACTCTGAATTCAACGCTATGGAGAATGCAACAGGAAACCACTTCAATCCCTTTCAAAGAACAAACAAGTTTTTCCCAAAAGAAAGCTCGATTATATAAGAGACTGTGAAAAAAGCAATGATTAATAATTTCAGATTATATAAGAGACTGTGAAAAAAGCAATGATTAATAAAGTAAATTCACAAGACATTAGTAGATCTCACTTATCTATGATTCTGTTTTTTGTAATTTCAGTTACCTAGTCAACCCCCAGATATAAACAACTCAAGTTTTACCAAATAATGGTACCAAAATGTAAGTGTAAATATACAATGAGGCCCTCACCTAACTTTTTACTGACTGGCCAATGACAATCCAACATCATGTTTCCATTCTGCATGATGGTATTGTGAATTAATTATGCATATTCCAGCTGAGTAAGCATTTCATTGATTGCAACCAGCCAATTACCATGGGCATCAGTTAATTTGGCTTTGCCCAAGCAAAATGCTCATTATCTTGCCCCGCTGTGAGCATTAAGAAAGTAGGAGATAAAGGTTGGGGTTAAGAATAAAATAACCTAACAGGTAACTTGAAAAATAAAACAAAGAGAAGGATTTTAAATTCCAGCTTTCATTTCATGTTAATTTACTTGGGAAATTCAACTTCCAGCTTCATGCCAACTGCCTGCCATCTTGTTTGGAAAACACTGGGTTGATTCTCTAAAACACCTGCCTCATAACTGAGATAGTTACATCCGCAAACATAAATAAACATATCTGCAATAAAACAGAATATCAAACAATATTTTTTTCCCATGACACCACTTTTTTAACTGCCTTCACTCTTCGGCAATGTTTGTTAAAAAGTGATGATTAGAATTGGAATAAAGCCTAAAAATATGAAAGTAAATTTATATATTTTCTTTGTTTTTGAGAATTGACAACAAAAATAATAAACACTATTAGATTGCTTATTTACACTAATGTCTTATAAAACTGGGTACAGTGTAACCCGGAGAAAATCTCTCTTATATTCGGGTTTCTCTTATATCCGGGTTTGGTCTATATGTATACATTAACACAGGCTCTAATTTGGGACCAGAGAAAATCTCTCTTATATCCGGGTTACACTGTATATGATTTCGACAGTTATAAATTATTGGCAATTGGAAAATGTTCATGGAAGTATAGTGTTTGAAAAATATATCCAATTATGAATTTTGCCATTTAGGCTTCAAAAGATGAAAAACAAAAAAGTGAGTTGCATGTGTGTTTTTGTGTATGTTTATTAAATAAAGAAATCATATTGTTTTTTCCCAAGGTGATGTTGCTTGAGACTAAAAAATAGAAAGAAAATAAGTGACTTTAAAAATGTTGTTAATATTTTATGTTCTTTGCTTTAAGTGTCCAAGTCAACAGAAAGAATCCTTCAGAATGGGTAGAAAATAAATAAATAAAAGATTTTTTTTTTTTGCGTTCTCTGTGTTGACAGCATGTTATAAAATTGGGTATATTTTTAAAAATCACTCATTTTCTTCCTCTTTTTTTATAGTCATCAGCAACACCAGCTTGGGAAAAAATAATATCATTTATCTAATAAACATACACAAAACAAGACATGCAATTCATTTTTTGTTTTTGATGAAGCCTACACAGCAAAATGCATAATCAAATATATTTTTGAAACATTATACTTTCATGAACAATTTCCAATTGTCAATAATTTACACTATTATATTATATATATTATATTATTATATATTGATTCAATTTTTATAAAATGGTAAATAAGGATTTCTTTATAGTTGGTTCACATATTTTAATAATTTAGTAAATGTTTATAAATTTATGCATAAAAATTGTTTTCACATTTATTTCTTTATAAATTGGTAAATGAGGAATATTGCATTGCATTAGTTCTAATTGTGTTAGCTTTTAGAATGTTGTAAATATAAAATTATTCTTGCAAATAAACAATTTAATAAATAGTATTTATTATTTTTGTTGTAAATTCTCAAGAATAAAAAAATTTATAAATTCACTTTCATCACATTTAGGATTTATTCCAATTCTAATCATCACTTTTTAAAACATTGCTGAAGAGTGAAGGTAGTTAGAAAAAAGTGATGTTATGAGAAAAAAAATGTCCTTTTGACACTGCATCTTAGAGTGGGCATGTTTATCCATGTTTACCACTACATCTTACCTATTTAGTTCTAGAAGTTCAATCAAGTCCAGGTAAAAAGCCAAGATTTCAAATGTTGATTTCTAAGCAATGAAAATCTCCCCAATTAAAAAACTGGTGAAACACTATTTTAATTCCTCTCATCATTTACCTTTGTGTCATGCTTAGCTAAACTTACCTGATACTTTGTTACCAGTTCTTGGTCATTTGTTGTGAAATATCAATTAAAAGGTATATATAATATCTGGTTTAAGGATATCTGATCTTTTAGACTGCACCTCTCCATAGCACTAGGACAAAGTTGTGAAAAAAGGACTCTTTCCCTGTATCATCTGAATGGTGTCCCACATTAAAAAAAAAAGGCCTTGAGCTATTTAACATCAACATGTGTTTTGAAAATTAATGGCATTTCATGAAATACGTCAGTTTGATGTTTTTAGCCAAGGATCATTAAGAGTCCCAAGTCTTTAAACATCAGACCCTGTCACCATGGTGACCCAGCTGATACTGATTGGATATCAACTTGTGTACCATCCATCAGCTACAACTCTTCTCATCATGCGAGCAATCCATTGTGATTCACACTTGTCTGGTATTTATAGTCCAAACACGAACAACTTCCGTGCTTTTCTATAAAATGGAAAAATTTTTGTGTGCCACATTTTGTCTTTCATTGGACTAATGGGATGTTTATATTGATGTAACTAGACATATTATAAACAAAATGTAAAAGTTTAAAATTTCAGTGTCCCCTCCCCTTCATGTGCATGTGTACTTACAGCAACATAAACATCACTTTAGTGTGAAGTGTGATGAAATCCTAAAAAAACAAAACATGGCACACAAAGATTTTTTCCACTTTGTCATTGATTTTCCTAATACTGTTCTGGTACATAAAAATTTATATATCATTTTCCCATATATATGTATGTACAGTCAGTCTCTCCGTCTTTCTCTCTCTTAAAGATGAACAATTAACTAAATTACCTCTCAGAATAGTTACTGTCAATCATTTACTTTCAATGCCATTTGATGAGAAATAGTCGAATACACAAGAGCATTAAAGCAAAACAATAATCATTGGAATTAAGCAGACAAGACCACTTCTAATTCCAATAATTAACAAAGCAGCTAAAGAAGCAAATAAAATACGATCAGATTAGTTTCCATTAACTTCAACTTAAAATGATGTTAGTAAGTCGGTATCTAACATGAACAGTCAGTATTTAAAACCAAGAAATCCATTTTGCACATTTATAAATCTACCGTCTGGCTGTTTCATGCTAGATGCAATCGTCAGGCCTGATGATTGTGTCTAACCTGTCGCCTCTAAGTGTTCATTTATTTATATATATATATATATATATATATTCAGTCTTGCAGTTCACTGCTACTAAGAAGTAGGAATTTTTTTTCTATCAATCATGTCTATGCTGGCCAAAATTAGTTGAGGAACCTAATTGAAATAATAAAACAAAAAAAATATTAATATACAGCGTAGTGTGTCTGAAAATTTTAATTTTTGAATATTTTTATTGTTCAATATATATATATATATATATATATATATATATATATATATATATAGGTATCCATGTGGATAAATCAAATAACTAGATATTAACAACTGCATATACATGTGTTAGCGTGCATACTCAGGTTAACTGAATAAATATTTACTCAATTTAAGGTGTAAACAAAACAGTGCTCAATGTGGTTAGACAGAGCTAACGTATAAATATATATATATATATATATAAATATATATATGATAATTTTAGCTGTTTATCAACAAGGAAACATTTAGCATTCATTAACTGAGCAACCAGTACAGTATTTGGTTGACATTTATAAATTTATAAAAACATCCTCTTAAAATAATTTTCCAGGAATATAGGTTTCTCAAGTCCAGTAGCTGTTATTGCTCTTTCCAGTATTGATGGTGGTTTCCTTCCTAACATTTTATTTTAAGTACTGTGGAATGTCAACATCTTGATAATGTCATTATTTTTTTTTCTCAGAGTTACATGTGCTATCCATTTTAGTTGTTGCTGCTTTTGAAAGTCCTCAAGTGATGTGGTTTCTGTTATTTTGTACAGGTCTTTGTGTATATGATTTTGTAGCACCCGTCCATATAGTTCAAAGAAGAATAATCTTTGCCAAGACTGTCAGGCTTTACTCACTCAAAGTTACTTTTAATCATAACTTAAACTCACCAATGGCACATAAAGGGAATGAGGATGGTTCAATACAATTTGTGTAGCATGGCGGGGTCTAATCATGAAGGTCAGAACTTGTGGAACTAACAAATGTAGTTCGTCTGAACACTTTCCATGGAAATAGCAATAAAGTAGCAAGTGACTAGTAACATTTCCTCTGTGGGAATATGTATATACATAGAAGTGTGTGCATGCGTGCATGTGTATTAATATCTACCCGTTTCACTTTTCCTTATCACCAAACCAATGTTGAGTACAGCCTTAAATATCAGTTGATACTGTAATTGGGCATTTATTGATTTTTAATAGGATTAAGAATGTCATAGGAGAAAATGATGGCTGATCAGTTCTTCATAGTGCTACTCTACCTGGCAGGTGAGGAGGTAGTGGCTGGAAGACAAGGCAGCAATGGAACAGACATCTGCTTGATGCATTCACTTCATAGATTATCATTGAAGCTGAGGTAGGGTAGTGGGATGGGGAGAAAATTGTTGACCATACAGATCTCATAGTACAAATCGATACAATAGTCTTCTTGGAGAATACATTTTTTTTTTTTAAAGAACTGCAGATGAACCAAAAATGGTGACAAAGAAAATGGCAATTGGTTGGTGCGAGCAACCAATGTAAAAATAACGTGTGTGTCATACATGTATATGAGCACAGTACTCATATAGGAGGCATGGTGGAGTAATGGATAGCAGCTTGGATTGAGGAATCAGAGAGCCGAGTTTGAATTCCAGTCAAATTCATTACATTCACTTACATGCTAATACGCTTGGGAAAGGTATAAATCCTCTTTTTCTCTCCCAGCTATGGGTAAATAGCAGGACAAAGTGGGTTCTATAGCCTTGAATGGCAAATGGTCTACCACAGAAAGAAATGACAACCTACTGCAGGAAAAAATCTGCCTTGTCAGTCATGTATCGAAAGATACATGATCACCTAAGTGTGTATCATTCATGGCACATAACTGACTCATAAAAATTATAAGGCCATATGTGGATAGGCATTTCTGCTTTGGATCAGTGTGCACATTATTCACATACATAAAACACAATGTGTATGTGTATATATATATATATATATATATATATATAACAGGATGTTGAAAAGTTCTCAGCATAACCAAGGAAAACTAAAAAAACTAAAATAAGATAAATATATAAAATCAATGTTGGGTCATTTTCTAAGCTTTCTGAAATTGAGTTAGATCAAAAACTTTTCTGCACCTCCTTGTGTGCATGTGTACAATATATTCTATATTTGTATGTAACATTTTCAGTAGACCACACAAATACTACACTCTGACCCAAGACAGAAGTACTGAGGAAATACACTTGTGTACTGTGCATTTTATCGACAAGTATAAAAATGTATTTCCTCAGCACGTAACTGTGTGCCCTATAGAAAATGTTACACAAAAGTAAATAAAATTATAGTGTGTGTTTTCCAGGAATATGTGTGTATATATGTGAGGGAAATTCAAAAATTATCTCATAACACAGATATGTTATGGTGAAAGTGCAGATAATTTTTTTTTTTACTTACCTGTGTGTGTGTGTGTGTGTGTGTGTGTGTGTGTGTGTGTGTGTATATATATATATATATATATATATATATATATATATATAATGGACAAATATATATATAATTATTATGAAATGGACAAAGTTATTATTTTTTTTTATAGATACAAATATTTAAGTAAATGTTCTGTTTATAATAAACAGTATTAAACAACATTTACCAGCCTGAATGTTTGAGAAAATTTCTAGGACATTCAGGCCGGTAAATGTTGTTTAATACTGTTTATAATAAAGAGAGCATTTACTTAAATATTTGTATCTATAAAAAAATGTATAAACATAAAATGTCTTAATATATATATATATATATATATATATATATATATATATATATATATATATAGATAGATAGATAGATAGATAGATTCTTTTTAGTTATTGTAACATTTTCTTCAGAGCACACAGATAATATACTCTGACACTAGTCAGAAATTATGAGAAAATACACTTATACTATTACACAAAATGCAGATATTCTACTGATTTGAGGAAGAAGTTATGGTATAGATGAAGGACCCAATCATTTTTTATAGGTATTATATTTTCATATTCTGTGTGTGTGTGTGTAATATATATAAATCCATAAATGTTTTGTAAAAGTTAATTATGACAGAATTCTGTCATTTAAGATGACGTATTATGATTATTTACATTATTCAGACTTATCCTCATCTTTGTTGCCATATTCACAACGTTTCAGCTGTTGTATGCTCTAGATGACATAAAGAGTTCAGTTTGAAATTCCAATCACCTGAAGAAGGCCGAAGTGTACAATGGCCGAAACGTTGTGAATACGGACATTTTCTACCACAACTACAAGAAACATATGTATGTAGTCATCGAAAAAAAAAAGTTTTTTCTTAAGATAATAGTATCCATATCTCTTATTCATAAAAGCAATTAAAAACTTTTCAAATTAAATAACATCTTAGTTTTATTGCATTTTTTATTTTATGATTTGTTGTAGATTTTCTCTCGCTGGGTATCCAGATTTACATGGAAATTGATCATTTAATTTCTCCAAGGACTTGTCCTTATGATTAATATATGTACCATTACTAAATTGCTAAAAAATTAGCATACGGTAGTGAAAAAAATATCCCAAACTTAAAACCAAAGTTCTATTGTCAAAATATTTATGTTATTATTAAGAGGAAAGAACAAAGGATTTTTTGATTATTAAATTAAATTGTAATTTTTTTTTCATTTTTTCGAATGTTCAAAACTTGGGTGAAAAAAAATCTTGTTCTTATCAGAAATTTTTTTTTTTTAATATTTTGTTACTAAATAAATTATATATATATTATATATATATATATATATATATATATATATATATATATATATAACTGTTACTCCCCACTTATATAATTTTTTTTAAATTTCAAGAAATTATTTTTTTATTTTTATAAACTAAAATAAAAGCTTCAAGAAGGATTTTTCATTTTTTTAAATTAATTTTATTTAAACATAAGGTATCGCGAATCTATGGTAGTACCTAAATTAATTATAAACATTTAAGCGCTACAAAAATTAATTTCTTGAATTTTTTTAAAATTAAATAAATGAGTGTAGGTATCGTAACAGAAAAGAAACGTTTCTAAAATAATTTAATTCATTTGTGAATAAGTCCTGAAAGTTTCATTAAAATCCGAAATTTATCTGATTTTTGTAAGAATTTCCAAATCAAAGAGTTTTTCACTGAAAAAAAAAAAAAAAAAAAAACAACAAAAAAGACGTTAAAATTCCCCATAGTAAATTTTATATGGTCACCTACTGACGCAAGAAAAAAAATTTTTAAACAAAATTTTCAATGCTTTAAAATGGATAAAAAAAAAAAAAAAATAGTTTAATTAATCAAAAATCCTTTGGTCATTCCTAAAACAAAGATTTCGGTGATACCTGTGTAACCTCTATGAACAAATAATTAAGTGTTACTGTTGGTAACAAATGTAAAAAAAAAAAAAAAAAATTTCTAAAAATAAATAATTTCATTCATTTGTGAATAAGTCCTGAAAATTTTATTAAAATCCAACAATTAATTGATTTTTGCAAGAATTCCCAAAACAATGTGTTTTTTTACCACAAAAAAGACGCTAAATTTCCCATACTAATCTTTGGGCCAACAAAACAAGATTTTTATTTTAACCAAAATTTTGAACGAGCTAGAAAGGATTAAAAAATTTAACAAAATTAGCAAAACAATACTTTGGTTTTTCTTCTTCTTAATAATAACAAACATTTTGGTGATAAAACGTTGTTTTTATCAATTTTGGGGCATTTTTTCATAATATGCTATTTTTTTAGAAAATGTTTGGAAGTTGTTTCCAGTTTTAAAGCTTGTCTACGAAAAATAAAAGTAACCTGACTTTAAAGGTAAACACATTTATTTTGAGACAGCATAGTTAAGTCTGTAGTTAATGATGAAAAAAAAAAAAAAAATTTTGCTTTTGCACAACCAATACTTATTTTTCAACATTATACCGTTTGTCAATGCACTTAACCAAGACTGCTCACTAAATTATAGATCACGCTTCAAGCATTATACAGTGAACATTTCAGATTAAAATTAAGCTCAGAACTGCGCCGGGTGTTTGTTTGAAGGTGGTGTAATGGTTAGCCAACTTGTCTCGCGAGATCAGTCAATCACGACCGAGTCGTGAGTTCGATCCTCACTAGTTGCTCCACAATTTCGGCCTTGTGGCTACATTTAGATGCGTTGTAATGGTTAGCAAGCTTGTTTCATTAAAATCAATTACAACTGAAACGTGAGTTTGTTCCTCGCTGGGTGCACCATACTTTTGGCCCTGTGCCACATCTAAGCTATGTTTAGAAAATCACCATGATTGTGTCAGGCTGCGGACTTAATCACCTACCTGTCGAACGAACATATAAAGAAAGACAAAAAGATACACACCTGTTTTCCACCACCAGATAAAGGGCCAAGAAGGCATTTTAAATTAAAATTTCCCAGTTATTTTTTGAGTTCAAAGGCTGTGTTCAAATTACCTCATTGCAGAAATTGGGTAAGTATCCACCTAAAAAAACTAGGGTTATTTCTTTAAAAAAAAAAAAAAAAAACAAACAAATTATTTAAAAATAATTAAAAAGAGGAGCTAAAAAAAAATCTCTCTACTTGAAATGGTTCTACGAGACTGTATCATAAAAATTACTTGGAGTGACTTCCAAAAGCAAAAAAAAAAAAAAAAAAAAAAAAATGGGAAAGTGGGTAAGACTGATCTGAAGATGGGGTGACATTTGATGTGGGGGAGCAGGCAACGAATAATGGTTTCATAGTTGCTATAACAACGACAACAGATATCGAAAGCCAAGTGAGCTGTTCAAAAAGGAACCTCGAATGAGTCAGGCCCCACACCCTCCATTGCCTGATCACACCACCTTGTCAGTTTGTTTCCTGGGGGTAGTGGGGAGGGGTTAATGGAAGAGGTAACGTGCTCTGTCGATAGAAAGCTCAGCTGATTCAAGACGTATCATCACCTGATCAGAGAATAAGAAACAGGGTGAAGGAAAGTAGAACAAAATGAAATGTGACCAGTGGTAATTAAATAACCAAAAAGTTATTTTGACAAAACTCTCCTCACATCACCTGTTAAAATAAACAAAACAAAAAATATCATAACCTCAATTCTTTTTTAGTGGTTCCCTCTTCTACTGGGTTTCTATTCAAGGTGAATTCCAGAAATAAATACAGTGTAACCCGGATATAAGAGAATTGTCGGGACCGGAGAAGAAGTCTCTTATATCCGGGTTTGGTCTATTTTATATACATTAACACAGGCTCTAATTTGGGACCAGAGAAAATCTCTCTTATATCCGGGTTACACTGTAATAAGTTTTACTTAG